CCTTCCTTCCTTCCTTCCTTCCTTCCTTCCTTCCTTCCTTCCTTCCTCCTCCTTTCCTTCCTTTCCTTCTCTCTCCCTCTCCCTCTGCTTTCCTTCTTTCCTTCCTTCCTTCCTTCCTTCCTTCCTTCCTTCCTTCCTTCCTTCCTTCCTTCCTTCCCCACCCCCACAAGTCTTAGTGGCCACTGTTAACCAAGGAAGGGGAATCTTTGCCTCGACATCAGTGGGGCTTGTTGACCAAATGTGGTCCAGGCTTCCAGGCCTGGAGGGCAGCCAAGGAAGCCCTTCCGGGTTGTGGGCCAGGAGTGCCCCCTGCCCGGCCTCCTCACCTGCCCGTCTTTCCCCCCATCCCCTCCTGCCCCCACGGCCCCCTCCCCCCCCCTCCCAGGAGACGTTCGCCGCCTTCAGCAACCTGGACGCCAAGGGCACCAACTACAAGTATGAGGTCTCCCTCAGCGGCCCAGCTGTGGAGCTGCACAACTGCATGGCCAAGCTGCTGGCCCACCCGCTCCAGCGGCCCTTCCAGACCCACGCCTCCTACAGCATGCTGGAGGAGGAGGAGGAGGAGGAGGAGGAGGCGGCGCCCGAGATGGAGGCTGTGGTGTGACCCGCCCGGTTGCATCGCCAGGGGGGTGGGGGTGGGGAACTGGGAATATCGGTGGGGGCTTCCAAAAATTTAGCAACCGGTGCTTTGCCCAGTTGCTGGGTGGGCGTGGCCATGGTGGGCGTGGCCTAGTCAGCCTCTTGCACCATGGTGGTGGTGGTGGGGGTATTTTTGCCCTGCTCGGGCTCCGGAGGCCTTCCTTGAGCCTCCAGGAGGGTGAAAACAGCTTCCCCGGACTCCGGAGGCCTTCCGAAGCCTCCAGGAGGCCTGTTTTTCCCCTCTCAGAGCCTCTGTGTGGGCCCCCCACTTACCTGGGGTCCAAAATGGTCCATATGGAGACTCCTGGGAAGGGAGGGGCAGGGCGGGCGGGGCCAGCCGGTCGTTGCAACTACCAGTTTGATGAACCAAATGTAAAATTAACCGGTTCGTGTAAACCGGTGTGAACCGGGAGCAGGCCACCCCTGGCCGGGAGGAAGCAGGGAGACCCCCCCCCAACCCTTAGCTGTTGAGGGCCCCTGCGAGGAAGACCCTGCGAGGAGACCCTCCCTTTCCTCTGTAACCTTCCTGGCTGGGTAATTTGCATGGGCGGTTGGGGACCCCCCCCCCCAAAAGGAGGAAAGGAGACCTCATGTGGGACGCTGGAACGAGCTGCTTCCTGGGGAAGGAAAGGGAAGCCGGAGGATTCGGGGGGCAGTGGATTAAAAAAATGTGACCTACTTTCCTGCGAGTCAAATTTCCGATTTCTGTTGAAAGAATCCGGCGTTGCTCAGCTGGGTTCCAGTAAAGTTTGGGAAAATCTTCTGGCTTTTGGTCTTTTGCTTTTCCAGATGTGTGTCTGGCTTCACCCAACTGCTTTACAGAAGTCCCTAACTTAGAAACGTTTGTTTGACTGTTCTAAGTTGCGACGGTGCTGAAAAAAGTCCAGTCCTCGCATTTATGGCCTTTGCATCCACACATACCCATGGTCACATGATTGCAGGTTGCATGCTTGGCAACCGTCTCACCTTTACGACCGGTTCCAGTGTCCTGCGGTCACGTGCTTGAGACTTATGGCCTGTTTCTGGCAAAAAGAAAAAAGACGACCGTTCAGAAGAATGGGTTTGCAGTTATGACCGTGGTGTTTGCTTAATGACCATGCTAACTCTCTTGATGACTTTCCACCATGTTGTTAAAATGGTGGTAAAAACAGATTCGACTGCAGACAGAAATTCTGGTCCCATCTGGTCACAAGTCAAGGACAGACTATATAGCCTGGGAGTTCCCGTTTTCTCTCCTCTGCCCCTTTTGCGGTCTGCCCATGACAAGCACAGAGCTGGGTTTTCATAACATGTTCAGGTGAACTTTGTCCCTGCCTGGATTCCTGTAACATGTTTCACTCCAGGGACATCAATCAATCGGGATGACGACTTTGCCGCTCACTTTTCTTTTCTTAAAAGTTCAATGTTACGTTAATCCCGGGGTACTTTTTGTTTAATTGTTTCGCCCAATTGTCCCGGCTCAGATGTTATCCACCTCTTTCTTCACTCCTGCACAAATCTTAGTCCAACTGAGTCCTCCTCTTCAGGGTGGCCATTTTGGACCACCACTTCAGTCGTCTTCGGGGGGAGGGGGAGAGACCAAGCCCAGAAGGGGAAATGCGGCTCCCCTCAACCTGGCTGGCGGCTTCCGCTTACTCCACTTCCAAGGCAGCTTCAGCCCCTAATCGCAATGATCGGGGCTCTCCAACGAAAGAGTGCGGACAGTCGCGATCTACGATCCGTCAGCGAGGAGGGCTCAACCCAGAAGCCCCATCAGCGGAGGGTTTGAAGAGGCGGGACAGCCATTTGAAATGGCCTAGTCAGTGTCCCCTGCTTCAGCAAGGGGTTGGACTAGAAGACCTCCAAGGTCCCTTCCGTTCTGCTCTTCAGTTAAATAATGGAAGGTGGCAACATATAAACCGAATGAGCAACTCCACAGCTGGTATGTTTATGTCTTCTTAATATCTAAGGCCACCCGACTTGCAGCGGCTTCAGGCAGCTGCTCCGGATGTTGTCCACACAAGGCGCACCACCTCCAGACTGCGCGAGAGGAAGTGAGCGTTGCCTGAGGCCAGTCGCAGCCTTGTGCAAACGGCCGCGTCAGTCGGTGCTCCATTCAAAATCCAAGAAAGAAATACTTAGACTCCATAAATTAGAGAAAAGAATTCTTTACTGAAAGATGGAAGTGGTAGCATCCGTAGGATTCTGAATCTGAGAAATTAGGCGCGCAGATCACATATACAAAGTGATGAAATTGCTCCCACCCCCCCATAGTTCAAAAGATTCTTCCAATTAAAAGTTGCGAATGTGATCATGTGGGCATCTTCAGGTGGTGATGAGGCCTCTGTTGACCTTGGCATATTTGGATAAAGGTTTGCAGCTGCGCAGAGAAAAGAAAGCTAAGCGAGAAATAGAAACCTAAGAGCAGGAATTTATACTCCCCCCCCTCCTCATTTACACAACACCTCCAGCTCTCTTCCCAGACCATAACCCCCCCTCCTCCCCCCCCCCGTTACTTATGGCAGCCAAAAGATGCAAAGCTGTAGTAGAAGATCTTGAAGGCTGACAGGCAGTCTGGACGTCCTCAAGGTTCCCCTTGGCGCCTCTCGTCAGCTGGTGTAGTAGGACGGCTTCCCTCAATCGGGACCCATTCTGGGGGGGGGGGGGGGGGGGGGGCGGGGGGGGGGGTCAAATGCTTTTTGTATTGGTTGGGGGGGCGGGGTTTGTGGGCAGCTTCCCCCCAATCAGCTGAGAGGATAAAAGCACCGGGGCAGGTGTGTGTGTGTGTGGGGGGGGGTTACTAGTGGTTCGGCTGAACTGGTCCAAACTGGTACCATCCCACCACTGGGAAGGTGTCTTTCAAGACAGCAGAGTCGGCCCGTGCAAGGATGACCCCCCCATGCCTTCAGGAGAGGGGAAGCCATCTGGCTTCATCTTTTCAGCAACTGAATGGAACTAGCAGAGTTGTTTCATGGCTGGATGCCTTTCCTGTCGCCAGTAAGGAGTTTTTTGTTCAGCAGAGATATTCTCGGCGTGCCCAGAGAGAGAAATATCTGCCGTCTGAGGGTGAGGCGAGAGCTCCGCCTCTAGGCCACTGTGACACGCCTCTGCCCAGTCCGGCTTGGCTTCTGAAAGGACGACATCCTAATTTCTCAGGGTGTGTGTGTGACTGCCCAGTAGAGCTAGTCCTTGGCTTACAACGGTTCCCTCAGTGGCCACTTGAAGTTACAGATGCATTGAAGAAGAGAGACTTACGACCGTTTTTCACACGTACGACCATTGCAGCATCTCCTTGGCCGCGTGATTGAAATTCGGACGCTTGCTAACTTTTTATGATGGCTGCAAAATACCAGCAGGTCACATGACCCTCTTTTGCAAGAGGGGATCAAGCAAAGTCAGTGGGGGAGCCAGATTCCCTTAAAAACCATGGCAAGGGAGGTCATAAAACGGGTCAAAACTCACATAGCTGTCTCGCTTAGTAACAGATGTTAGGCTCAATTGTGGCTGTAAATGGAGGACTTGTTGCTAAGGAAGCCATTTTTTTCCCCCAATCGTCACCATCTAAGGCCGTGTTTCTCACCTGGGTGCCTTGAAAATGGGCGGGTTCCAACTCCTAAAATCCCGCAACCAGCATGAATTCTGGGAGTTGAAGTCTACCCATCCTCAAGGGGCTGAGAAACAAACGGATTTAGGCCGCTGTTGCACATCTCAGTATGTTAGAATTCCTAGGTTGCAATAGAGCAGGGGTCCCCAAACTTGGCAACTTTTAAGGCTTGTGGACTTCAACTCCCAGAATTCTATGCCGTCTGGGGAATTCTGGAAGTTGAAATCCACAAGCCTTAAAGTTGCCAAGTTTGGAGACCTCGGCAATAGAGGCTTAATAAGTGCGAAGCCGCTAAATACTTAACAAATGCAAATAGGGAACTAAAGTCTGCAGCCTGAAAAACAAGAAATGCTAGTTCAAATAAGAGTGCGAATGCAAATATATGCAAAAGGCACACTTAAAGAATTATTTTCCAAGAAATCCTGTATAATATTAAATATTCTTTAAACTGCCGGGTTTAATGCTACCGCAGCTTCTGAAATTCCCCTCCGATTGAGGAATCTGAATTCTTTTATTGGGCGTCACTAAATCAACCAGTTCTTTTTTTTATCACATTTTTCAAAAATAGATGAAATTGGGTATTAACTCACGCGAGTGAGCCAATCCTGTCTCAACCCATTCAAGAAATAGGAAGGGTGGGAAAGGAGGCGGGAGCGTAGGGATTGCAACCAATCCCCGTAAGCGCGCGCTCTTCCGATTGGATAGGCAAGCAGTCCATGGGCGGCGACGTATTACCGCGGCCTTCCAATGAAAAACTCCGAGGAGGCCGGGGCGGGAAGCTTCAAACGACAGGAACAAGATGGCGGCGCCGTGTTGACTTCGCGGCTTTGGCAACTCTATGGCCGCCGACCACCCAGCGAGATGAGTTCGCTGCGCCGGGCCGGGACGCGCTGACGCGACCGGCCTGGCCCGCTTCACGGCCCACCTCAACGGACCGCCCGCCCAGCTCCGCCGCCTCCGGGAGCCGATGCAAGACGCCGCTCTGCTTGCTGGGGAAGAAGCGCGCCTGGCGCGGCCGCCCTTCCCTTCCCCGCGGCCGCCCCCTCGCGGCGCCACGAAGCAGCCCCGGGCTTTGCAGCTGGCGGCGCGGCTCTGCCGGGCTCTGCGGGGCCGGGACGAGGCGTAAGTAGCTCGTGGATCCGCCGCGCGTGGCTTCTGCACCTTTGGCAGTGAGGAGAGCGGGGCTCCGAAGTGGGGCGGCCCAGCGGCCCCAAACTGGCTTTGCCAGGGATTCCCGGGCGCAGCTGCGCTTCCTCCCCCCCTGCCCGGGGTTGCATTTACCTGCAGAAAGGCGCCCGGTTGATCTCAGGGAGCCTGGAGCCCTGGCAGGGACACGGGTTCAATCGATCAATCAGAATAGAGCTGGAATAGAATAGGGACCTTTGAGGTCTTCTAGACCGACCCCGTGCTCAAGCAGGAGGCAACAGACCCTTCCAGACAAATGATTGTTCAGTTGCTTTTTAAAAACCTCCAGTGATGGGGGACCCCCACATATTCTGAAGGCAAGCTTTCCCGTGGATTAATGGTTGCAACTGTGAAGAAAGTTCTCATTTCTTCAAGTTTTGTTCTCCCCTTGGTTCGTTTCCATCTGATGTTTCTTGCCTTCTGGTATTTTAGCCCCCTCCTCCCCTTTGGGGCAGCCCCTCAAGTCCTGGAAGGCTGCTACCACGGCCCCCCTGCCAAACCCAAACCCCACAACCGTTCTTCGTATGATTTAGTCTCCAGGCCTTCGATCATCTTAGTTGCTCTTCTCTGCACTTTTTCCAAAGTCTCAACCTCTTTTTTTTGTAATCTGGGGACCAAAACTGGGCGCCGAATATTCCAGGTGTGGCCTTATGAAGGCCTTATAAAGCAGCGCTGATGCTTCCTGTTGATTCTGTGCCTCTGTTTATACAACCCAGGATTGTGTTCGCTTTTGGGCTGTTGCCACCCACGGCTGGCTCGGGTTTAAGGGATCCTCCCCTAGGACTCCAAGGTCCCTCTCGCAGTCCCTGTTTCCGAGCCAGGTTTCGCCTAATCTATCTTGCACCTATGGTTTTCCCTGCCCAGGTGTTAGCGAGGAGGTTGGGTTAGAGGGTTAGGTTAGGAAGGACGGGCCGAACTTGGAATTAGGGCAGGGCACCAAGGCAGAGGTCTCCAAACTTGGCATCGTTGGCTGGGGAATTCTGGGAGTTGAAGTCCACAAGTCTTAAAGTTGCCAAGTTTGGGGGTGCTGCCCAAAGGCCTTAGGTAGTGGCACCCCCTCCCTCACTGAAAAGAGGGGGTTTCTTCTTGCATTGGGGTGGGTGGGTGAGGTGTAATCAGAACCATAATCCCTCGGCTCTTCTTCACTGCTGGCGTCTAGAATTGCAAGGGACCTTAGAGGTCATGTAGTTGACCCCCCCCGCACCCCCCCATCGGGCAGCAATGGCAATTTTACAACCTACGGACTTCAGCTCCTAGCATTTCCGAGCCAGCCCTGCTCCAGAGTCTCTGGCAGAGGAACCTCAAAATGGTGCTGGAAAATCTTTCCTTGAGGAGCAGCCAACATTTAAAGGGGTAGCCGGTTGCCCCCCTTTTCCTCACCCCCTCAAAGCCCCCCCCTGCCCACCTCTTCTGACCTAGGAGACCTTCCTAGAGCTGTTATGCAACAAAATTCCATTTTAATGTAGTGCCCATGTAAAGCGACCATAAAGTGAGGGGAAGGTGGGGCCCCGGGCTGGCCTTACCTGCTGGGGACCCCCCACCCCTTCCTCAAGCCCCCCTCCCTCTCCTCTCCAGGATGGTGGCTGCCCTGCTCCAGGAGGGAGCCGACCCCAACCTGGTCCTGCCGGAGGGCGTGGCCCCCATGCATTTGGCTGCCGGCCTGGAGCAGGAGAACGGGACACGTCACCTCTGCCTCCTCCTCCAGCACGGCGGAGACCCCAACGTCAGGTAGGCAGAGGGGGCTCCCCCCTCCCCGTGAAGACACGAAGCTGCTGTCGGGTGGAGGCGATGTTGGGGGCCTTCTGGCCAGGACTGGGGCATCCGGAAGGATAGATTGGCAGAAGGAGAGAAGGAAGAACAGAAGGGGAGGAACAGCAGTAGAAGGGAAAGGAAAGGGATAGAAATAGAAGGGAGAAAAGGGAAAGGAAGGAAGGAGGGAGGGAGGGAGAGGAAGGAGAGGAGAGGGCGGAAGGAAGGAAAGAGGGAAGGTGGGAGAGAGGAGGGAAGGAAGGAAAGATGGAAGGAGGGAGAGAGAGGAGGGAAGGAAAGAGGGAAGGAGGGAGAGAGAGAGGAGGGAAGGAAGGAAGGAAAGAGGGATGGAGGGAGGGAGAGGAGAAGGGAAGGGAGGAAGGAAAGAGGGAAGGAGGGAGAGAGGAAGGAAGGAAGGAAAGAGGGAAGGAGGGAGAGAGGAGGGAAGGAAGGAAAGAGGGAAGGAGGGAGAGAGGAGGGAAGGAAGGAAGGGAAGGAGGGAGAGAGGGAGGGAAGGAGGGAGAGAGGGATGGAGAGAGGGAAGGAAGGAAAGAAGGAAGGAGGGGGAGAGAGGAGGGAAGTAAGGAAGGAAAAAGGAAAGGAGGGAGAGAGAGAGAGAGAGGAGGGAAGGAAGAAAGGGAGGAAGGAGATGAAAGAGGGAAGGGAAGGAAGATTGTGCCCATGTCCTCTCCTCTCCCAGATCTGGGGAAGGCCTCACCCCCGTCCACGTTGCAGCCTCCTGGGGATGCACTGCCTGCTTGAGGCTCCTACTGGCCGAGGGCGGAGACCCTCAACTAGAAGACCAGGTGGGTCCAGGTGTGCCTTTGCCTTTGGCAGGGGAGCCTTTGCCTTTACACAACCCCTGCAGCTCACAGTGGCCTGAAGGGCTTCTCCAGGGCCCCTCAGTTTCCCTCGGTTGGTCTCTGCCAGACAGGAGATGGCGGGAGGAAAACCCCCCCCCCCCCCAAAGCATTTAAATGGGGTCTGTTTTCTGCCTGGTTTTTCCCTGAGGATGTGTGTGTGTGTGTGTGTGTGAGAGAGAGAGAGAAAGAGATCCAGGCAGGATAAGTTACTCCAAAATAAATAAACTTCCTGTTTCGGCCAGGAAGAAAACTCAAGCCGTTTTTTGTTTGTTTTTTAAAAAAGGGATTTCTTGTGTGATTTAGGCCTCCCACCTGTGTCGTATTTCACGCTGCAAATCCTGCTTGGAATTTAAAAGATTAAACCGTCAACCATAACCCCCAACTTCACCCCCCTAAAGGGAGCGATGAAAGGGGCACGGAGGGTCCGTGTCGAAACCTTCCCAAGCATGAAGGCGTTTTGGGGCTGTCGTGATGGTGGGCTTGGCGCCTCCCCTTCCCCAGATCAGCTTTGGGCCCTTGGACTTCAACTCCCAGAGTTCCTCAGGCAGCTTCGCTGGGGACCCCTCCCCGAGATTATAGGGAGCCCAGATCCAAGGTGGGGGGTGGGGGGATTGGAAGGGAGGCCCCGGCAGGGAGAAAGAGGGCAGGGGTCTCATTGGCTGATTCCGTCTTTCCGTCGTGTGTCAGGATGGGAATCGGGCCTTCGACCTGGCGCTGGAGCAGGGGAACGAAATGTGTGTTGGCATCCTGCAGGACGGAGGGTGGAACAGCGGCTCCCGTAAGTGCCTGGGGGTCCCAAGGGCCCAACCGCCCGCCGGTCATAACCTCTACGGAGACCCTCAGTCCTCCAGATCACAGTTGTCCCAAAGGTCCCTTTTTTTCCCTTCAAAAGGAAACCGGACTTCCTTTGTTTTTCCTTGAAGAGGTTTCACTTCTCATCCAAGAAGCTTCCTCAGTTCTGGCGGAACGGTGGAGAATGGAAGGATTTATATTCCTTGCGGTCACCATTTGCACTATTCGTGTGACCTCCCCCCCACCCCCAGGGCATGGATAAACCCCCAAGTGGCCTCTCAAGAGTGCTAACATCCAGAGGACTGCAAGGAATATCAATCCTCCCGGTTTCCACCATTCCCCCAGAACTGAAGAAGCTCCTGGGATGAGAAGTGAAACCTCTTCAAGGAAAAACAGAGAAAGTCTGGTTGCCTCTTGAAAAAGCCCCTGTGGGGCTGCCGAACATAATCTTAACCAAAGGCTTCAAATATTCTCCCCCCCCCCCCCCAATCTTTCATGCAGCTCAGCGGAGACTGGAGAGCTTCCTGTCCACCATAATGGAAGATGCTGGGGCAACTGGGCTGGGCGACTCTCTCCCTTCTCCATCAGATAGACCCTCCTCCTGGAAGGAGGCTCGTCAGCACGGGGAGCCGCCTGGGACCTTCCCTCCAAACGGTGGGCCCGGGCCTTGCACCCAGGACCGCTCGCCCTCTTCCTTTCTCACCGAGTGCTCCTGGCAGGGCAACACAATTTGGGGTCTGGCTGACTTTGGCGTCTGGCCGGTGGAGGCCCCCAATGGCTTCCCCTCCCCTGGGACCCTGCCCTCGAGCCGTGCCAACGCGGGGACCTGCTGGGGGGGTGAGGGGGGGCGCTCTCTGTCAGGGGCGGGTATTGAGCAGTCTTGGGACATCCAGGCCTCTGCAGAGGGAGGGGGCCGCTCCCCGCTGGGCCCAGACACGGCTCCGCTCTCTTCAGTGGGCAGACCGGACAGGCCAGGCGCCGTGGGATCCCCACGGAAGGCCCAGCCCTCTGCCAGCCTCAGCCCTGAACCAGAACCGGCCCAACTCTGTCGCCTGCAGGAGGCCAAGGGGTGTGGCCTTTCTCAGGGGTGTGGCTCCCTGGATCTGGGCCTCTTGGAGAGGCTCCCAAGCCAGGATGGGCTGGACGTCACCTGCCGTGATCACCTGGCCGAGTCCACTGCCGTGTTGGACGTTGGAAAGGAGGCGGTTGGCCTGGCCTCTGTCCTGGGGGTCAGCGGGACTCTGGACGGCTGCTCGGCAAGAGGAAGGTCTCCAGGCCGGTGCTCAGCCGCCAGCACTGACCGGTACCTTTCGTGCATTAGTGAATGTTACACCAGCGCCGTGGAGGACCTGGGACACGGCTGCCTTCCGGCGTGGGAAGGCTGGGCGGGTGCCTCTAGCAGCCCTGCAGGCGGCTGCCTCACCAGCCACGGAGGGTCGGGTCGGGGGCCTCCAGCCTGCCTGGGGAGGGGTCTCGGGGGCCAGAGTACTCTCCCCACCAGAGGGGAGGCCCAGATCTTTCCCGGGAGTCAAGATTTGGCTCTGGCCCCCAACATGAACTCGTGGGAGGTTTCACAGGGGAGGGGAGGGGTGGCCCCCCCAGAGAACGGGGCTCCTGGGGAAGGGCCTGTGTTGGTGACTGGGGGCCCCACGGAGACTCGGGGGCTGCCCGTGGAAGGCCAGGGGCCGGTCCCCTCTGCAGCAGGGGGGGAAGAGCTGGCGGAGGCGGGCCCAAGATGGAGTCGGCCGCGATCGGCTCTCCCCACCAGCCCCCAGCCGGGCTCGTCCCCCGAAGACACCCGCCCTGTGCGGTGGAGGGCAGAGGAGGGGCAGGGCCTCCGCGGCCACCGGGGTCCGCCTGGGCCGAGCAGCACTGCGGAGGGGGCCCCGTGCCCGCCCGCCTGTCTTGGAGAAGAGCCCCCCAGCACTCTGGAGGCCCAGCTGCGGTCGATGAGGCTGCCCGCCAAGGCCGGCCACCCCCCACTCCTCCCCTCGTGCCGGAAGTGCTGCCCAGGGCCCACCCGGCCCCAGAGCCCCCCGATGGGGACCCTTCCCCAGCAGAGCCTCAGCGCCGCCTCTCTCTTGGAGGAGCCCCTGGAGATGCCCAGGCGGGTCAGGAGGAGCCCCGGGCCAGGCTCACCCCGAGGAGGGGCTGCGGGTCTCCCGGCCAGAGAGGCAGAGGAGACGGGGGAGGCCAGGGCCCCCTCGCCTCCTCCCACCACCAGGAAGCCGTCCTCGAACCCAGGACCATGCTCTTTGGGCGGAGGGGAAGCCTCCCGGGTCAGTTTCAGCCGGCTGTCTGGGAGGAGCCCGCCTGCCCCTGGCCCCCCAGGAAGGCTGAGCGCCCCCCGCCAGGAGGTGCCCCTGTCCCCGGGGGGGCGGCCTGTGCCCCTGAGCACCCCGGAGCCTGTGGAACACCTGTACGTGGACGAGGAAGGCGGCCAGAGCCTCATTGAGCGGCACCTGCCCCCCACCGATGACTCCGGGCCCAGCAGCTCCGAGGGCAGCCTGGCGGGCGACTGGCAGGAAGCGGGGGGCAGCGGGGCAGGCGCCCCCTTGAACCCGGAGCACCTGACCGACCGAGCTCTGGTCCTCAAGCTGCGCCAGTTGGGGGCCGACCCGGGACCGGTGACGCCCCTCACTCGGGGGCTCTATGTGCGGCTGTTGGAGAGGCTGAGCGGGGAGACTGCTGAGACCCCCGGCCGGAAGGGCCCTGCAGGTGGGTCCCTCGGGTGGGGTGGAGCTTGAAAGGGGGATTTGAGGCGGGGGGGCTGGGGAGGAGGAGGAGCTCTGGGAGGGCCGATGTCCCGGGTGCAAGGGGAGAGCGCCTGGCCTTGAGGGAGCAGGAGGGGGGTCCCTGCTTTTGACCCTCTTCCGGGGAAGGTCGGGGGGGCATTGGGCCCTCCAGAGCTCCTCCGGAGGGCCCAGCTCCTTCCGGGGCTCCTGGACTCGTCCCCCCCCTCTCGTGCTCAGCCTACAGCCCCGAGCTGACCTCTGCCCTGCACACCTACCGGATCCCCCCATCCCAAGCCGACGAGATGGCTCTGGCCGCGGAGTTTGACCAGCCGGACAAGAACCGGAGGTGGCGGGAAGGGCTGCTGAAGTCCAGCTTCAACTACCTGCTGCTGGACCCCAGGTAGGAGGCCCTCGGGTGGGGGAGGGGGCCATGGCTGCCTGGCCCAGCTTTGGGGGGTGCAGGGAGAGCCCCGCTGTGGCTGATGGTCTCGTGGCTCTGCTCTCCCGCAGGGTGACCCGGAACCTGCCGGCCCGCTGCCAGCTGCTCAGCCCAGCCGAGGCCTTCCAGACCTTCGTCCAGGCCGTCTTCTATGTGGGCAAGGGGACGCGCGGCCGGCCCTACCGCCATCTCTACGAGGCCCTGAGCCACTACCAGGAGGGCCAGGGGACACCGGCAACGCAGGTGCAGCTCTGGGGCCTTCGCCTCCTCCGCTAAGAGTGGAGCTTCCAAATCCAGGGGCAGTCTAGCTTTGACCCCCATGGCAATTGACCTTTGACCTCCTGCTCCGACAGGTGCCGTTCTGGCCCCTCCACAAATGGGGGTGGGTTAGGTAGCAAACCCCAGAATTGCCACCCTCCCCCAAGCACAATTCCTGGGAGTGGGAGGCTGCAGTGCCCCCCCTCCCAAAGCAGCCCCAGAGGTGGGGGGGGGGGGTTTGTTCCGTCCCTCCCGGCTTCTGCCCCCCCCCCCCTTTCATCGGGGTCCCCCCCCCTTCCCCGCCCCGCAGGTCTCCTCCAAAGTCCGGCACATCCTGGAGATTTGGGCCGGGGGCCAGGGGGTCGTCTCCATGCACTGCTTCCAGAACGTGGTCCCTGTGGAGGCCTACACCCGCGAGGCCTGCATGGTGGACGCCATCGGTAAGGGCTCGGGGGGAGCGGGGTCCACACGGCACGTGGGCGGGGGGGCTCTGGCAGGTTGTCCGGGGGGGGGATAGGGGGAAATCCCCTTCCTTGGATTTCAGCTCCCAGAATCGCCAGGCCACCGTGGCCACTTTATACAACGCCCAGCATGGCTGGCTGAGGAATTCTGGGAGTTGAAGTCCCTTCATCATTAAGGGGCTCAGGTGGGAGACCCCGGTCCTAGTGCCCCCCCTTCCTATCCCTCCCACCCCTGTCCTAACGCAGGAGGGAGTTTCATCCATTTTCTTTCTGCATTGGTCCACAGCTGCTTCCCTCCCGCCCCCAGCCTTTCCCAGCCCTGTCCTGAGACCCCTGGGGGGGACGGACTTTGCCCAAATGCCCTCCTACCCCCCACCCCCCATTGGCATCTTCCCTAACCGCCCCCCCTCTATCTAGGGAAGGTGGCAGTTGGAGAGTCTCCGAGGGGATTCCCGGCGGGGGACGGGGGGGGGGCGGCGGGGGACCGGCCGGGGGTGGGGGGGGGTGCCCGCCCCTTTCCCCCTTGCCCCCCCCCTCGCCTGCCCAGGTCTGAGGAGGCTGACCAATCAGAAGAAGGGCAACTATTATGGCTCGGTGGCCGGCTGGCCCATGAAACGCCGGCGGAGCCTGGGGGTCTTCCTCCTGCATCGAGCTCTGCGGATCTTCCTGGCGGAGGGCGAGCGGCAGCTGCGGCCGGCTGATATCTGAACTGGCCCTCGACCTGAAGCCCCCCGGGGGCCCCTTCCCCCCAAGCGGCGCCCCCGGGGCCTGGAGCTCAGCCGAGGGGCTCCACCCGATCCCTCGTCCACACAACCCAGGGTCACAGATTGTGGGGTTGCCCGCAGCCGGCTTCTGCGCTGGACGCCGGGTGGAGGTTGAAAGCTGCTGACCCCATGTATGGAAGCCATTTTGGAGCCCTGCTGTTTGCTGGCACGCTTGCTGGGCGGGGATCCCCGTTGCACCCAGCCACATTTGGGGGAGAGGGAAGCAGCGCAGGAGCCCCGCGGCCCTTCCCGAGCAAGGGGGGAGCAGCTGTGGCCGTGATGGCAGACCTGTGGCACCCAGAGCCCCCTCGGGGCACACATGCGCCACCACCAGCCGCACTTCCGGTTTCTGGTGTGCACGTTTTGGAAAACGGCCCCCAAACAGGCATCCGTGCAGCAGTTTGGGCCCCCGTTGCCAGAAAGCTCCGCCCTGCACGGATCTCTGGGCCCTGGGGAGGCTCTTCCTGCACCCTAAGAAGCCCCCCCCCCGCCTGCTCTCCTCTTCTGCAAACCTCTCCCTCCTTTCGAGACCCTTTTGATGGGTAGCCCTGGGGGCCTTTCTTTAAAAAAAACATGGTTTTTAAAGGTTTTTCCGGTTCCCCCTGGATTGGGGCCATTAAATGAGATTATTTTGGGATGTGACGAGTGCTGGATTCTGTCCTGGGGTCCTTTTTGAAACGGGGAGGGGGCACAATTAAGCCGGGGGGGAAAGGAGACGCTTAACGACCCCAGGGCCTTCTGCCTTTCTTTGGGGGGGTGGGGAGGTCCTCGACTTATGACCACTCACTTAGTAAGAGGTTCTGATGGACACCCAGCCCCCCCCAAAAACATACCTATGACTGGGATTCATCCACTCCCCCTCTTCCTTCAAGCCCATTTTGGGCATTTGGCAAGTGGCCTTATTTTATCCACAAACTCTCAGCTACATATTTACTCATTTATTCAATTTATTTCCTGCCTGCCTGGTTTCTAAGTGATCCTGGGCACTTTATGGCGGCTCTCCAACCGTGGCCACTTTAATAAGCCTGGAGAACTTCAACTCCCAGGATTCCCCAGCCAGCAGAGCCAGAATCCGGAGTCCTCCAGGCTTAAAAGTGGCCACGGCTGGAGAGCCCTGCGCTTAAGGACCGTAACTTTCGCTTCCGCGTTTGCTTTGTGACCACTGTAAAAAATGTCGTAAAACCGGGTAGGTTTGACTTATGACTATCTTATGACATAGGACCCAAACCCCAGGACCTGTTGCAGTCATAAGTTGAGGAGTAGCTGTAATTCTTCGTGAAAATAGTCCCCCCTCCTCACGAGGCCGGGAGGCGCTTTGGGTCTTCCTCCGTTTCCGCGAGGAAAACTGGCCAGGAGGGAAGCTGGGAGCCCTGAGGGACGGGGGCTGCTTGGCCGCTGGGCTTTCCCGGGTGGGGCCCCAAACAAACCTTGGTTTAGTTGCCCTTCCTGTCCGCCCCCCCTCGCCCCCCCAGCCCTTCTATGCCAGGGAGATCTTAGGCTCCGCAGGGCAATGGTGCCAACTCTTTTACAAAGTTGTTTGGATTTGCCCAGGGCACCAAAAGTGGAACCAAATCAAAGCCCCCCCCCCAAAAAAAACACCTAGCCCTCCCCCCTCTCTCTCACACACATATACACACCCTAACTGGTTCCAGGGTCCGTTTGTGGAATGATCTCACAATCAGAACATAAGAGGTCATCTAGTCCAACTCCCCCCCCCCAAGCAGGAGACCCATCACCATTTCTGACCGATGGGAGTCCAGCCTCTTCTTGGAAGCCTAACAGGGATGATGGAGCTCCGGCGACTTCTGTGCCACTGATCGGATTGTCCTGACTGTTAGGACGCTTCTCCGTCACTTGGAAGCTTTCGACGGGAGACTGGACTGCCGTTCGTCAGACATTCTGCAGGGTCCCATGCCTGGGTGGGGCGGGGGGTTGGACTAGATGACCTCCAAGGTCCCTTCCAGCTCTTCACTCTGTAAACACAAGTTCCAGGTTGCTTCTCTCCTTGGGTAGTTTCCATCCGCTGCTCCTTGGAGCCTCCGTGGCGCAGTGGGGAGAGTACAGAACCGCAGGCTCCTCCGGCCGGCTGCCGGCCATTTGGCAGGTCGAATCCCACCAGGCTCCCGGCTGACTTCTGAGGGGGCGTCAAAGGGGGACCCCGATTGTTGGGGGCAAGAGGCCGACTCCTCTCAAGGGCTCAGAGCGGGCCGGGAAGCAGGAGGTCGGCCGGAGTGCTGCTGCTGCTGCTCCCGCTTCTCCTGCCTTCGGGGGCTTTGGAAACTAAACGGACTCGGCCTCTGCTTTTAGGGGCAGCCCCTCGGACACCGGAACCTGCCCCCCCCCCCCCGCCCCCCCATAGTCGCCCCTTTTCTCTAGACCGGCCGTGCCCAGTTCCTGCAGCTGCTCTTCCTGCGCTTGTGTCTTTCAGGCCTTCAATCGCCTGAGTTGCGCTGTTTGCAAGGAGGGCAGCTGGTTCGGCGGTTGTGGCTTGTATTTCCCGTCTGCAAATGTGGCCTGAATGGTTTCCGGCCTCTGGAGGGTCTTCCTGGGAGGGGGGGGGGGGGAGGGGGGGGGAAAGGGGCTTCAGCAGAGCTCCGGCCCCCCACCTGCTCTCTCCCCTTCCCTCAGCCGGGACTGCGAAGGCAGGCTGCGTTTCCCAGGTGCCAAAATCCCTCCTTCTCCTACCTCTTTATTTTTTCCTTCCTTCCTTCCCTCCCTTCTTTCGTTTCTCCCCCTCCCTTCCTTTCTCCCTCTCCTTTCCTTCCTTCCTTCCCTTCATTTCTCCCCCTCCCTTTCTTTCTCCCTCTCCTTCCTTCCTTCCTTCCCTTCATTTCTCCCCCTCCCTTTCTT